ATGGAAATGATTTTGAAAACCGAACTGAGTTTTGCATGTGGGTGTTAGATAAAGTGGCAGAAAATGAAAAGTTTTTCGAAAATATGTTATTTAGTGATGAATGTACTTTTCATAACAATGGTCTCGTGAAGAGACACAACTTTCATTATTATTTTGATACGAGTCCGCGCACATACAGGGTTATGAAAAATCAAAATAGGTGGTCAGTTAATGTGTGGGGTCGAATACTGGGCCAATATTTAATTGGACCCTATTTTTTTGAAGGACATCTAAATGGTTTGATGTTTCTCCAGTTTCTAATAAACCATCTCTCAATATTATTAGAGGAAGTCCCTTTCAATATTAGAACCAACATGTGGCTTTAATTGGACGGAGCCTTATTATCACTGCGAAGTTCGGCAATTTTTAAATGCTGACTTTCAAAACAGATGGATTAGCAGAAATGGGTTTCAAAATTGCCCCCTCCCCCCCAGATCTCCGGACTTAACTCCACTAGATTTCTTTTTGTGGGGGTACATAAAAGGAATTGTCTACCATACGCTTCCGACAACTTCACACGATATGAAAACACGCATAAGAAACGCTTTTAAAACTGTAACTCCGCAAATGTTGGCCAGAGTTAGCAGTGGTTTTAAAAAAAGAATTTACAAGTGCCTGGAAATGGACGGTCAACATTTCTAACATTTGTTATAATTAATTTGCCTCGGTTTTATGGTATTCCCAGATAGCATTTGATATTCTATGAATATCCCAGAATGTTCAAAAAATATACAGAACATTGCGGGAATATCCTGGGAATATACATGGTTAAACATTCCTAACATGAATGTTCGTGCAATATACATGCATGTATATTCATCAAAGTTCATAAAAGGTATATCCTAGGTATGTACATATATATACATATTGGGTATATGTGCAGATGAACATGCCAGGTATGTACATTTTGTGTATATGTGCAGGTGAATATACCTAGGATGTTCAAAACAAATATTCCGGTAATATACATGAATGTATATCTACGGTATATTCCAAATTGGTTGAATATAAATTTTACGTGCCCGCAGCAGAAAAGTGAGGGCATGTAAAAGTAAATCTTGTTACTATTAAAACCTGAGACCCTTATGAAATCCTGAAAATATGCTGTTTTGATTAACAAATTAACAAAATTTATCGAAAATAAACCAGATTACCAAAATTTGCCGAAAATAAATTTTGCGTGCCCGCAGCAGAAGAGTAGGGGCACGATTTTTTACTTTTAACTTGAGTAAGTCACCGTTATTTAATTATTTTCCTTATTGAGAAAGAAATAAATTAGTATATTACAGCTTACTTCTTGCCTTACAAACATAAAATACCATTTCATTTATGTTTAGACTTAAATTTAAAAATAGTACGTGCTCGCAAATTATTTGCATTGTTTCTTCTTATCCTAGTTATTTATTTGGAAAAAAATTATGGTTCTGAAAAGAACCGATTTGTGTTTGATTAAGTATGTTCCTACTTAATACTGTCTTGGGTTTAGGTGCTTTTGGTTTTTTTCGTTGAGCCTGGTATATTTGATTCCTGATTCTGTGTTTACAAGCATTGACAAGAGACCATTTTGTCTGCTGTTTTAGATTTTTCCACTCGATTGAATTTTTCCAGAAATATTTTCAGCTGCGTTCAGGTTCCCGAGTGGAGAGTCTTACCACTGAAATTGTGGATTGGATGGCCAGGGGCAGTCTGGATAAAACTGGTATTTGAGAGCATGTGGAAACGTGGAAAAGGTTGTAATGCATTCTATGGCAGAACATGGCGTAACCTGCTTCGGACATTGTTTATATGAACTTTTCTTTATAAATGCGTCAACGTTATAATTTTATTGGTCAATGTTAATAAAATTTCTATATTACTCAAATACATTTATCCAGACATAACAGTTTCCACACTATAAAATCCAAACAATTGAAATGCATATTACAAATTCAAATTACTCGCTTAGTGTGTACACGGATTACGTCCGGCTATAACACGGCACACGAAAAATGTTCGCATAAGATACGGCAAAAATGTAAAGGTATGTTGGTGTTTAAATTAAATACATTTGATTATTTTATTATTTCGTGTTTTATACTACAGGTAATGTCGCTGTTGTGGACTTGAAGCATTGAAGATGCTAGGGATCACCAGATCTCCAGATCCAGTGAGAAAACCACACACGAAAAA